TATCGGCCGATACCGATGCTGAGTATCAGATCGGTACATCCCTGGTTACCAGTCAGGCCTCCCCTTTAGCTTATGGTCAGTGTGATTGTGATACGGGAAGCAGTGTGATCTATTTTGAGGAAACAGTCAGTGTAGTAATGTACATGCTACTAAGGGTGGAAAAAAGTTACAGTATTTCGTGCAAAAAAAAAAATGTATCTACAGTAGATAAGGTTGCAGTGCAGTAGTTCATGAGACAAAGCAGAATAAAATTCTTTGTCTCCCTCTTCTCTTCAGTACTACCAAGCCCGGAGCTGCTAAGGCTAGCCAACATAAACACCAGAGAACTCCCAACTTCACAATGGAGCCAGAAATCTGCAAAGGTAACAACTGACAGCTCAGTCTAAAGACTATAATTTTTGTTGGATGTTGCCCATTTGATTTTGAAGGTATAATTTTCTAAACTTTCTAGTTTATGTAAAGGCTAATGCTAGCTTTGCTTACAGGGATTCACTAGCAAGATGATAGTCCTTTTAGCAATGTTAACACTTTATTAAAAGTCTAAAGCATGTTCCTGTGAATAACATACCAGTTAGTGTTTGTAAGCTGAATGTCAAATTTAAAGATGTTATCAGTTTATTGATCAGTTATACATCGGCAGTGGTGTTCTGCCCATGGATCTTGCTTGCTTAGGTATTTCTGGAGATGTGTCATTTAGAATCAGCTTTATTGGCCAGATGTGCAAATATTGCACATGGTATATAGCACATAGTGTAATTGTACATGGTCCTCTACTTAGTAATGTAATGAGAGGTTATTGCACAGGTTTTTCACATTTTGTATTTGCCAGTCTTACTGCGGCAGGGGAAAAAGCTGTTGTAAAATCTTGTTCTGGGTGTGATGATTCAAGGTTGAAGGATTTTATTGTCAATCCACCATATGTGCAGGACATACAGAAAATCAAAATACCGTTTCTCTCTCACCTAGTATTGGGTGCTATAACATTTAGGAACTAAAATAAAGTCAAGTAGAAAGTTGTTACATTGCCTTTGTCAATGCCCTTTTCACTGTGATACCAGTATTTTAAAGAGTTTACACAATGGTTTATTTATTGACAGTTGTATAATCAGAGCTGAAAATGGTGGACTATGAAGTGACCGTATTTGCTGCCAATCATGCCAATGCCACAACTTTTAACAATGTCTACATCAAGCTGTTGGGCACAGATGGGGAAAGCAAACGCAGTCGGCTGACTGGCTTCGAACTATTCTCTGCTCTTTTGCGACAGTGCTGTTTGTAATATTGTGTCTATAGCAGGCAGTCCAATCCCAATGATCCCCTCTGCAGTCGTTATGACCCTTTGAAGAACCTTCCTCTCTCCTGTGTGGTGTTACCATACCAGACTGTGATGCCAGTGGTGAGGACTCAAAGTGTGAATTTCAGCAAGCAGTCCTCACAAGAAATATTATATGATGGCAGATCAATTGTCATGGTCAGAATTCATTTAAAATTGTTACAGGCCACTTAACAAACTAGTTGTTTGATTCTCCTACTCTGTGTACAATCAATGCCAAAAGCTCAAAATGCTCCCACACAAGCGACCTTGTTCACTTTCTTGATCCCTCAATAATCCAAATCAACCTCTATAAATCTAAAATACGTTTGTTTCTCTCCTACACAAAACCCCACAGAATCTGGCCATTATGTGGCTTATACAGGTAACAGGAATTACTGAGGATCAGCCCAAATTCTTATTTGTTCATTCAGGTAGTGTAAGAGTCAAGTGAATAAGTTGTTCTATCTGCCCCTAGCAGCAAACTGCCAAACTTTGAAACTTTTATGAACCAATGTGACACCGTTATGTGACTTGGCCACTTTGATGTGCCCCACGAAGTAGTACTACAAAACAACTGGTTCGAAACGTGTCCATATGCCAGTAAACGAGTCCAACCATCACCACTCTGCACCATATTAACTATTGTTGGCTTCACTTAAAATGCTGTGGAGCGCACCTGACCACTGAGGCGTGGGTGTGCGCTTAGCTGGCTACGGTACAGTGCGGGTTAACTGCAATACGATCAATAACTCTGTGAAGTGTGGAGGAGGGAGCCCGGTGGAATTGATGGCATCCATAAAGCTGCCTTAGCTGTATTAAACAAGTCTACGTGTCTGTTAGTGCTGTCAGAGACCTGGG